CACCTTCCACACATATAGTGCAAAGAATTGTGCTCACATTCATACAGAGTAACCGGCTGCGTTTCTGTTGTTGCACATAGAAAGTTATCGAGTTTGCGTCTCCATTAGTAGTTTTATCATCTCAGTCGCTGACTTCTGATGGATCCAGTCAATATTTTTATCATAATGAGACGATTCAGCGCCTTGTTATGACTTCAGCTCTGCAAAAAGTAAAAAAAAAAACATCACCATGTTCCAGCGTTCATTTAGCTAACAGCACCGTGCTAGCCGTGTCACATCTGTGTGTGTGGCTATTCACGTGCTCATGCCACGTGCATGTGTGTGTACGTGTATTTAGCGGTTTCCTGCCCTGCAGCGCTGTGGAGCTGATTATAGCCGTGACCCCCCTCCATGTTTCCCTGCTGACGCTGGGGCTTCACCTCCGTGGCGTCGGCACCCTCTGTGCCCCCCTCGAACCTCCGTCGCCACGGGTACCGGATGTCGGCGCTCAGCCGGTGGATGAGAGCAGGACAGGAGATGACGAATGCAGGAGGAAAAACTCTGCAAATGCGAGTTAGTCAGAGCAGCGGTTTTCAATGAGTTCTTTTTTTCCCTCCCCGCTTTTAATTAGCATTTGATATTTACTGTAAGTCCTTGTGACAGCGGTGTGGAAGTGGGTGATTAGTGGATCAGCAGGCCTGTAGAGATGCTTGGCCATGGACTAGATAACTGCCGAATATCATTATTAGGATCCCACATGACAGACCTGCGCTCGTGCAGCCGAGAGGACAACGACCGCAGTGAGTCAGAACGCATTACGACCACAAACATCCGCCTCTCAGGGCCACTTAGCGACCGACCTTCAGCTACCTGACAGGATGATGGAAAATCAGACGTCGCAGCTGAGCCAACGCGTGCACCTGCTTCTGATTTTCAGAGGAAATTAACCCGATTTCAGAGCGAGATGCTGCGAAAAAGAACACTTACATGAGTTTGTGCGCAGCTAACATCACGTCTTCAGTGAAGATATCTCAACAGTTACAGATCGGACTGCTGTGAGATATGAGGTGGAGTTTTCATAAAGTTAAAGGTAACTTCTGTTATCTGTGAAGTGAAATTTCTCCTACAGTCAGCAGTAAACAACAAAAAACAAAGGAGTTTAGTCGAATGGACACATATTTAATAGTTTATTCAATCACAATATATAATATAATATATACTGTATATATTTGCTAATTTAAAATGTCATTTTATTTCTTTTCAGACCAACTTAGAGCTTAACAGCTTCTATATCTTTTATATCTTCAGCCATTATTGAGACATTTTATTAGGAGGAGTAAAGCCAGCATAAAAGCCGACTTCCCAGGATGCATCGTTAATCATCTTGGTTTTTTTTTATAGTTTGAGAAAAGCGACACGGTGGGTCAGTTTAATTTACTTTATTTATTTAGCACCAATTCACATCTCATAGCTCTTAACACAGTGAGGTGACTTTAAACAGAGAACCCAACAGGTTCCCTATGAGCAAGCAGTCAGTGATGGGAAGGAACCAGAAACATAATCTAAAAAATCCTTTAACAGGGAGGAAAAAAAATAAAAAATAAAACCCCGGCAGAACCGGGCTCATGGAAGGCAGCCATGTGCCTCGACCAGTCGGGCTGAGAGAGGGGATGAAGGGGTGGAGGATAGAATAGAAGGTGGAGAACAGATGAACACTACAACAGAAGGATGAACATTTTGGAGATCATTGAGGGCACTGAGACTGCAGATCTATTAACTGCTGCAGAGAAAACAAGACGCAGAACCTCGGGGGACGTTATTGACATGTAATGGTGAGGAGAGGAGCCCAGTGCATCATGGGAGTCTGAACCTAAAGCAGCATAACTCAGGGACAGGAAGGTTCTTGTTGTTTGGTTTCATTATAGTCAAACCAGCTCCAACCAGGATAAAGGTTACCACCCACCGACCTGTCATCTATCTCAGTAAGCAGCAGCCACAGGTTGTGTTTGTTCTGAGTCTGGTCCAAAACAGATGAAAACATGAAATGAAAACACATCAGAATGGAAGTATTGGTCATGTGACTTACCTTAAAATCCGGACTATTGAGGCACCTGAACATAAGCCCCGCCCACTAACTTTACAAAGAGAACCAGGTGTATACATATACAGGCTGCACTTATAAGCTGCAGGTGTCCACGTTGGAACATGAGATATTTACACAGAAAGATTTTTTAAACTTTTAATTAAACCGTTAACACACACAAATACGTAAATGCTTTTTTCTGAACAGTTCCTGTAACACGACTGGTTAAGAAAGTAAAAACTATAGCAGCCTACCAGGAAAGTCATCAATCGCTATCTTCATCTTCCTCCTGAAAACCACTGAAGTCGTCTTCTTCAGTGTCGGAGTTGAACAGAATCACTTCATCACTTCCTCAGTCTCTCTGTCGTCGTCGCTCTCAATGTCACTTACGTCTCGAGGCAAATTCATAAAAATTCATAAATTAGCCGCATCGCTGTTTAAGCCGCAGTTTTTAAAGCACGTGGATAAAATCGGGGCTTATAGTCCAGACATTACGGTAATAGCTTAAGTTCAGTTAATTTAACTCTGCTAGTTTCATAAGCTGACTGAGCTAATCATTGATTTAGACAGAAGTTAACTCACATTTTTTAAGTTTCTGAAGCTTGTTAATACGTCCTGAACTGTCAAACCGTGTCAACAGTATGTTTTATTAATCTTATTTACTCAGATTACATTGGCTGTGGACATTCATGACTCCCAGAAGGAGCCTCTCTGTGTTCTGTGCTGTAACCTTTACACGCGACCTCCCAAAACTTATCATCTGATGTACTGAAATGTAGGTTCGTGCTCCCCAGAGACTCTCCGTCCAGTTTGCTCATCACGTTAGCGTCCCTTCAGCACACCCCCGGGCCACATCATCTGCTGTATCCATGATCAGGGATGGATTCTCTTCAGCGACCTTCTGACCTGCACTCTGTCAGAGCTTCACCCTATGGTCCGTCATTCATTTGCTGTTCGTGCTCCCCAGAGGCAGAACCGCTCGGTGTCATCCTGAGGTCAAACGGCTCATCGTTCCACCCAAACGAATGTGC